AAGTGCAGCCACCAGGACTCTAGAGGTTCTCAAGCCCTGGAATTATATTCTTGCAAACAAGTGCAGGAACACAACATTGCATGTTAATGACTTGTTTTGTGCACAATGACTTCATCTGCAGACACAAATGGCTTCTGCAAGAAAACTAGGTACTAAAAAGAACCAGATTTTTCAGATGGAACAGCTTGGGATCATTACTTTGGACAGTCATTTACGTTGTGGTCTGTCAGACTGAATCTTTTTGAAAAGCTTACAAAGGAAGTCCACACTTCAGTCCAAATGCAAAGTTCCTCCTGAAGCAAATGGAGATGGAAGAGCTGTAAGCTGTCACTTTATCAAAGGGCTTTGGGCAGATGTGTCTTATGAACATCTCACCTACTCAAAGGTGTCCTTCCCTCTTTCAAAACAAGGAAGCTGAAATTTGCTGAAATGGTCTCTTCCTTGGGATGTTTGTATGTCTCATGAGAAGGAACTGGGCAAAAGTACAAACAGTACAAAAAAACTTCAGCTTTCTGGTCACAGCTTCCCAGAGAAAATTCCTGTGTGGAACCTCAAATTGCTGACACTGAAGTGACAATTTCACTCGTGTTTTAAGAAAAAAAAAAAGAGAAAGGATGAGTGCAAAACTGAACATGAGGCTTACAACTAGAGAAGGTTTTTAAGAGAGACTCCATTTCAGAAGTGCATGCTCAAAAAACTCATTACAAACTTCTGGCAGTTAGCTCAGGGAAGTGCCCAGCTGTTCAGACACATCTTTCAACCTTCTTGAGCCTATGCTTTTGCACCTTAGATTTTGAATATGAGCTACTTCATCTTGATTTCATTCCACTCCATTAAGCAGTGTGTTTAGAACAGTCTGCCTGCAGCTCAAGTCTATTTCTCATTAACTCTCCAGCCAAAAATTTGCTTGTTTGAAATCCCTCTGCTTGTCTGTCTCATAGCATTGAAAGTCCTCACCTGTCGTTTCAGAATCAGTTTTAAATCTCACTGGTTACTGTTCTAGTGCTGTTGCCACCCCAGGGAAGGTTTCTGTATTAGAAGTGTGTCCTCTGCTGCCACTGGCAGCAAGAACAGCTCAATTAGTTGAGATGCTGCATAACAGACATCTCCAGTCCTCAGAAAAATCACAGTACAGATGACCTCACCTCACCCAAAGCAAAGGACTTGCTTCCCATAGCCACTTAAATGCTGAGAAATTTGCAGCAATTTGTGGTGTCTTACAAATAGAAACACCACTGCAGCCACCTGAAACTAAGAAATGAAGTCAAGTAGGAAAAGAATGCAGAAAACACATGAAGAAATGAAGCATTAAAAAACTCTTAGAGCCATAAAAACAGTGCTGTGGTATGTTACAAGTCCAAGTTTGACACTGGCAAAAGGCACTAAACCAACAGCCCTACAAAGTCCTATCCACAGAAAAATTGCAACCAGAAAAGCAAGTACAGTGCTTTGTGTTCCCTTAAGGATTTACTCATTCCTCTTGCTGAGCCTGCCAAGGGCACAGCCATTCTGAAGGCAATTTTTGAGACACAGCATAGAATTTATTTCATATGGATGAAACCATTCCCAGCCATGGCTACTCCAAGGAATGAAGGCTCTATCATCTCCAGATGATTTTGGAAAGTGTTTAAATAAGGAAAAAACTCCCAATGCAGTTTCAACACCACAACTTAGAAAGTCAAAAAAAAAAAAAAAAAGAAAAAAGTATAACTAGTGTTTTAGATGAAGAAGAAAATGCACCCAAAATGTGCACAGAGAACATGTTGCTGAATTGCATATTCTTCTGCCCAAACCTTCTGGCATTACAGTGCAATTCCATCTTTAACAGTCTCAGAACATTTTCAAGTCCTGTTTCTTGCTGATCTTTTTTTTTTTTTTTCTGCTGGCATGCCACAATAATTTATGACTTGCAAAGCTTCCTGACTGCTTAGCAACACTCAGAGCAGATCCCAGTTGGTTTCCTAAGGGAATGAGGAAAACGTGTTGCACATTGTACACTGGCAGTTCTTCCTCCCTTTTCTGAGAACTGGCATGACAGAGCTGGTCTATCAAAACCAGATTCTCAGGAGCATGTTACTACCATTCATTCCAATCCATCCCTGTTTAAAGACAGCCATCAGCAGAGCTGCTTTTGCACCCTGAGACAAAGAAACTTCTCTTACTGAGGAAGGAATTCGTTCTGGGGAAAGGTGCCACACAGTCCACAATTGGGCTGTTTCCACAAAAACTCAGTGTGCCATTAGTCCATATTAATGTGTGTTGGCTCTTCTCCCCCTTCACAAACACTGCAGAAGCTCTACCAAAACAGCACTGATTGCACTGTCCAAAGTCACTCACCTGAGAAGTTTCTACTCCTTGATTCATGTCCTTGAAGCTGTCCACAACAACAGTGTCCAAGCTGCTCAGGTATGGTTCCAACTAAGCAAACAAAACCAAAATGTGAGTTTATATTTCACCTACAAACGAAGGTAAAGCAAATTAAAACCTACTTAGTTTACTCCTCTGAGTCATTTAACAGAAACTACCTCTGCACATGTGACCTAGTTGAGCAGATTGTGAGTTAAGGTAATTTCAAGCAAGAATGAGCATTCTGAGATGACTGTTCCAGATACAGCTTTAGTGCTTGCTAAGTATGTAGGGGCTTACCTAGTGGTGAAGGAGAGTAAGGTCTAGAAGATCCTGTGGATAACCTGCGCCCGACGCCCTGAGCAGTGTCAGCTGGCACAGGGGAGCATGAGCCCATCTTCATGAACCCCATGGGGCTGGTATTGGAGCGTCTCACAACTCCAGCTCTGAGGGGTGAAAACAGTGATTACACACCCTGGTTCCTTGAGATCAACTCCAGAACCTCCTGAGGAGTATAATGATCAGCTAAAGAAAATATTGAGGAAGTTATGCCACTGAAGCTCATTAAGCCAGTAACTTATTAAGCTTTCCATACTGAAAACAAGCAAGATTTAACTCTGTGTTCACACTGACTTTTAAGCTTTCAATGCCATAACAGTCTGTCAATTGGAAAACATTAAAACACATATCCCTTAGTACATGGATTCCTAATCTTCAACCAACTTGATCATCAAACTGTTAATTTCACAATCAAGTGAAGTGTATTGCTGCAAATGCCCATTTTTAAGTCAACAAATATTAGGACAAAGTTTCATCCTAGATTTGGTAAACAGGTCAGAGAACTGAAAATAAGATTTCCCTTGAGGGAAAGGCATTTCCCCAAGTGTAACAACTATCACCAAATCACAACTCCTGAAAAACACATGCAAGAAACCCTGGGGTTTGTTTCTGCAAAGATCTCCAGAGTTCTGAGTAGTCTATTTATGAGTCTTTGACCTTCACCATCCTGATCCTGTAGACCACAAGGCAAAGAATATGCTCTCACTAGAGCTTTGTAACAAGCCAAGCTGGTTAACTAGCCTGCCAAAAATTGTTTCCTTGATATTCTCCAGAACAAAGCATCTATCTCAGCACTGCATGTGTGAAAACAAAACATAACTTATTACTGACTTTCTAGTCCATGACATAATGTCATATAATACACAAAGAAGAATGAAAAAGCAAGACTTCATCTTTTTACCTTCTTGGGTTGCATTTGAGTGAAAGAACAAGCTCATTTTGTTGCATGAAAATATTTCAAGTGCCCATCCAACAATCTTGAGATTGTGAAGGACTCTTTATTTGTTAGCATTGAAATGACTCCTCAATGTGTTTTCGTGCAGAAAGAAAAGTGCCATCAGCACGAAAACATGGACGTCTGTCAGGGTACAAACTAGAAGCAAGAGAAAGGAGTGAAAAAACCCCAAACTCACCTTGGTGAGCCGTGGGGGTTGGCCACAGGGCTGGCAGTGGAGGAGAGGTTCTGCTCGATGCGCTGGTAGTTGCGGAGCTGGGTGGGTACCGGGATCGGAGCCGTCTCGCTGCGGGGGGACACCGAAGGCTGACAGTGCCTGGAGGTGGAAGGTGTAGGCACAGGAGATCAACACAGGGCTCTCTCAGAATTGTACCTCTGTAGAAACTTCAGGTCAGTCTAGGAAACAGGCAGATCAGCTCCTCCTGCGCTCGCTGCGTGCAGGGAGATCTCGGCTGGTCCCAACCGAACTCCAGCACTGCACAGAGTGAGATCAGGAGCTGCTCACCACCACCTGCCTTTCCCACACTGGTGTCAGACTGAGCAGAGAGCCCTCTGTCATGCATCACAGTGATCTCCAGATCCCTCTGACTTCTTGCCAATCCCACCGCTCTGTTTACCACGCTTCAAAATAGCGTTCTAGGAAAACCCACTGCGCTGGGAACAGGAAGTTCAGCAGCAGGGCTGGAATGTGTACAAAAGCCACTAAAGCAGTCAGAGATATCCCCAGAGACACCGTGAACTTGCAAAAGGAAAACATATTATGTAACCAAGCCCTGACAAAAGGACCAACACCACACACCTGGGCAATAATCCACAGACTCCAATTGCAGGTTAACATTGCCTAAGTTCAGCTGGAGTGTCACTGACCTGGCTCACCTCAGAGAGCTACGTGATAAGGGACTCAAACCACTGCATGTAATCAGTTACCAACGCTGTTAAAGGAAGACAGAATTCAACAGAAAGAATTTCAAACCAATAGGCTTTCTGGAAGATAATCAAGTTGAGTATCTGGTCCTTTACTGACCACATCTTCAAAGAAAGATTACAGATTCTTAGAAGAAACATGAAAAAAGTTCTCCCACAAGCTCTAGAAGACAAGCAATTACAGCACTCCCTGCAGGGATACAGCTGGGCACAAATCTGGGTTTCTGACTCTGTTTGTCCTATTCTTTTCACTACCTCTGAGAATGAAACATTACTTCCTAATATGCACACGACTTCCTCAGCAAAAGAAACTAACTTTGTTCTTTTATTGCCACCCAGTTTCTGGATACCACAGAGTCATTTGGAAGTTGGCTGTGGGCACACAGTCAGCAGAAAACCTGAAAGCTTCCAGGATGGATGGAGAAGGTCTCAAGTGGAAACCACAGGAAGGCTGTGGGCAGGTTGCCACGACCAACACAGCACACTGAGGGAGCACAGGAGGCTCCCAGGGCCCCCAGGAGAGAGGAAGCAGCTGTTATTTCAACTGTGGCAATGACACTGAGAAAACCATGAAGATACTTCAACTTTTAAAGAGCTCAGCATGGAAAATGCCTTCCCCTGCTCTCACCAGCCTTGCCCTGAGCTGGAGGCAGCAGTGCTGTCAGTGTGGTGCAGAGCCATGCTCTGGTCAAGGTTCCCCAGCTCAGGCCCAAAGCTAGACTCATGTCAAGCACCTTCCAGCCTGACGTGGTTTGTTAGCAGAGAAAATGCAGCACAGAGTGTGCAGAGCTGCATGTCAGTCTGGTCTCTCTGAGATCCAGAGAATAAAATTAGCAATGAACCACAGGAGAGTGAACCACCTCGACCTCTTCTGCCCATTCTGCCTGGAGACTGAGAAGTGTTACAGCTTCTTCTGTGTGACATAAAGCAGCATAACTCTGGGTACAATTCACTCAGTTTGATCAGCTAATCAGAAAAATTCACCATTTCACAGGGCATAACCTTTTGTAAAAATAACTGAAAAATTCAACCCACAAACAATGAAAGAACATTTCACAGGAAATAAAAAACCAAAACCAAAAGAAGCATCTTGTAGAACACCAGACACACACTCTGCTTCCTTCAGACCATGCCCCAAGCAGTCCCAAATTCAGTTACTGAATTTACTCAGTGAGTAATTAAATCAAACACAGAGTGTGAACAGTAGGCACCTGTTTCTAACCACACAACCATTTAGCTCTTAACTTAGCAATGTACAGATAACACAACTGGCATATTTTCATCCAACCTCTAAAAACTCTGACACAATTTAAAATAGGAAATTACAGTGGATTTATAATCCATTGTACAAAGTAAATGGATCTTTACAGACAAACCATCCCCATTATCTGCCCTTAAACATAAAAGGTAAAACTAAAAGCTGTATTGACAGCCCTGTCAGCAGATTTCCTAACTGCACAAAGATCAGCACAAAGTAGCAAACTTTTCTTGTGACAAGCATTTCTAAACAAATAATGCTGACTTGCAGCCCTGTAGTACTGGCAGGAGCCAAAAATACACCCAACATAACAGCTTTACTCCCCAGTTAACCACTCATCCTCTTTCTATTTGCACTGAAAACATCATGAAACTCATCACTTGATCAAATGACAAATCTAACCCTTCTGCTTAGATATTACATGAGTAATTAAATACCATCATTAAGCTTTACATTTTCCACTATAACACAGGAAAAGATTTCAGGCACCACTGACGAAAATCAGTTCTATTTGCAGCTAGCAGAAGCCATGTGGAAGAAAGGAGACTAATTACCAGTCCTGCTGATGGAAAACCTGCAATACATGTTTAGCTCTTCCATGTGACTTCTTTTGGGATCTTGTAAAACACAAACATGAAATTCAGAGCAATCACTTGCACAAAAGCCACACCCAGTGACCAGACAGGAGCCAAGCCAGCCACGAGACACAAACCCACAGCAATCTGGGCTCTCAAAGTTCCTCTTCTCTCACAACTACTTCTTAAAACTTATCTGCACTCAATGTCTTGACTCACTAAATGAAGACTGTGCTTCAAAACTCCAAAAAAATCAAGTCAGTTATATCTCTGAAGGTCCTGCTTTCAAGCACTTCAAAATTTAAACAAAGACTGTTCTCTTTCCTTAAGGAAATCTTTCAGGGTGCAACAAAGACTGCATGAAGTATAGAGAGCCTGGGAAAACCAGGTTGAGCTTCTATTTTAGTATAGTTTCCAGTAGCCACCCACAATTAAAAAAAAACAAAAAAAACAAAAAAAAAAACAACAAAAAAAGCCAAAACATAGAGTAGCAGAGAACATTTTTAAAGAGACAAAGCACTAAGGCCACCTCACACACCTGTTGGCTGTACCAGATGCAGTACTTCGAGAAGAGGCTGAGGATGGTTTCTGTACAGTTCCTGAGCTTCCAGAAATAGTTAATGGTGATTGCCTGGGGGGAAAAAAAAACAACCACTGTCAAAAGACAAGTCCTCACATCAGAGAAACTCTCTACTTTGCAGCAAAACGTCCTGAACTCAAGCTGTTTAGATATTAATCTTTCAGAAGCTCCACAGAGCTGTGCAAACCCAGCACTGCCCAAAGCCCAGCAAATCCCTTGTGCAGCTGCAGCCTCAGAACATGAGACTTCTTTGGGCCAAAGCTCAGCACACCTACCCTCCACACATCAGGAACTCGCTGGAAGCCCTTCTGCCAGCTGCTCCCAATGGCATATCATCTGCAGCAAGAGAAGAACACATTGAAAACCCACAGCATGGAGCAGAATCTTAAAAAACATAAATCTCCACTATTAATGTTGTAGAAATAATCACTTCTGTGAACGCATAAAAGATCTCCGTCAACTGTTTTGTTGTAGGAAAATACCTCAAATGTGACTCCCCCCAACATGTAACTGGGGAAAGGAGTTCTTCAACCAGTTATTCTGTTGTTTGTGTGTTTTTGCCAGGTTAATTATAATGATTTTGAACTAAACCCCAGTGTTTAAGAGCACAAGGTATCAGCATTGGGTTGTTTATGACAGAAACCCTCCAGGCACTAATTTAGTCAAACATTTAACACAAGTTGGTGGCAGTGTACAGAAATCAGCTGACTTTGTGCAATTCAGGTTTGGATGATGTCACTAAATGCAATCCAAGTCTTTGTTTTGTGTAAGCCCAGGCTGCTGCCCTGTCTTTTATGGGATTTATGTTCTTACCTGTACTTGTTTATCATCTAAAGCTTTACAACACGAGCTATAAATGTTCATTTAGTCTGGAGGAAACAACATCCCTGCCTACCAAAAGAATCCTTAGGCCTCTTATCAGTAGTTGTTTACAACTGACTCTCCTTTTCTGCTGCCAAACCCCAATATTTTCCATATCTTTAAAGCACCTCAGTATCTTTGGCATATCTGACTTTTCAACTGAAGGTGAAAATGTTCCAGATGGACACGAAGTACCAAACTGTTTCTCTTCAAAGAGTAATCAAACTAAAGAAGTTAATTTCAATGTGAAGTGAGACACATTTAGAAAAAAGAGAAGCAAAGAATTACAGGACATAAAGGTAGATTAAGACTGGAAATTGATTTGAAATGTAAAAATAAGAAAGGTTCTTACATGAGTGGTCTGAAGAGATATTGTGCGGGACAAGAACAAAGTCATCTGTGTCACAAGAGGAGTTCTTGCTACTGGTACTGGCAGAGTCCTTGGAGACTTGAAGATAGTTAGGAGGACCCAATGGAGGGGAAGACAAATTTTCTTCTTGAATATGCTGCATGTCTGGCAGAGACTAGAGGGGACAGTGGGAAAAAGAAAGTAAAACCCACTGATTTCAATCACTGATCCAGCGATTCAGAAAGCAGAAATGATCTTTCAACTATGAAGCTTCCAAAGTGAGAAACAACCTTTGACAAAGAAACCCAAACAACTGAAAACCAGCCCTAGGTTTAAGTATTTCGAAATAGAAAATGTATTTGGACCAGGAAATTTCAAATACTGGATAACCTTATAGTGTCAGTTTAGACAGTTCTCTACTAAATAGATTGTGAGTTTAAGCCAATTGTGATTTCCTCAGTCACAATGAATACACAAATTGAAGTCACTGGTTCAGAGCAGTATAAAGGGGTTTTAGACAAAAAAGACAATTCAAACTTATCTGTAACAATCATAGAATCAACCTGGTTGGAAGAGACCTCCAAGATCATCCAGTCCAGCCCTACTGTGGTTACTAGATCATAGCATTAAGTGCCACATCCAGTCTCAGCTTGAAAACCTCCAGGGATGGTGAATCCACCGCCTCCCTGGGCAGCACATTCCAATGCCTGAGCACTTTCTCCATAAAAAATCTCTTCCTAATCTCCAACCTAACCCTCCCCTGGCAGAGCTTGAGTCTGTGCCCTCTTGTCCTGCTGCTGGTTGCCTGGGAGCAGAGACCAACCCCCACCTGACTCCAACCTCCTGTCAGGGAGTTGCAGAGGGTGATGAGGTCTCCCCTGAGCCTCCTCTTCTCCAGGCTGAACACCCCCAGCTCCCTCAGCCTCTCCTCATGGCACTTGTGCTCCAGTCCCTTCCCCAGCCTCGTTGCTCTGCTCTGGACCTGCTCCAGCCCCTTGATGTCCCTCCTGAACTGAGGGGCCAGAACTGAGCACAGGATTCATTATGTTGCAAACCATATTAGCACATCTGAAGATTTGCATTTGATGTGTATGTGATTTTTGCTTTAACAAAAAAGAACAAAAATAAACAAACCCCAAAGTACACCACAAAGAGTGAACCAAAACGTTCATGGCATTCTCCTAGCAAAAGACAAGGGTACACAGGAGGATTCCTTGCTCTGTGTTCTTAAATATGACAGTTCACACTGTTCAAGAATTATCTAAAACTGAGGCTAAGAAAAGGTTACAGAAGATATTGTTCTGTAAAACAGAGAACTTACTGGAGGAGAAGCAAAACGGCACGAGGGAGAGCTGCCACAGGAACTGCCAGAGACTGAGCCTGCATATGTGGGCACTGGTACAGGACAAGCTACAAGAGAAAAAGCCAGAGGGCAAAAAAGAAAGGGACTAAGGTCTTCAGGAAGGTTCCATTTCAAACAAATTGCCTCACTGCTTCTCATTCATAAAGCCTGACACAACACACGAGCACAGCACATCCTCAGTCACACAAGGGTATTTAAGTTCACTTCAAACATCCAAGGAACTAGTAAATAAGTATCACATTTCAGTCTGGCATAGGACAAAAAAAGGATTCAACACTCAGGCTCACAATAGAGCACAGCAACAGGCAGACTGAAGAAAATGTCTCATAAACACTTAGGGTGATACTTGGCAGATCTTTCTCCATTCCAGCCCCCAGCACTCATCACAAATAAGTGGAAAAACAAAACTACTTACATTTTTTGACTGTTGAAACATGATCCAGGAAAGGGTGGTTGAAAAATGCTTCTGTAGAAGAAGAAACAACCACCATTGTGAGTAAATGACAGAACTTACAGGCTCCACAGCAATGGTGACAAATGGTTCCCTTCCCAGAATCAGTATTTCAGAGCCAGAGGGCAAAGAGCTTATAAAAGATTAAAGCCTCCTATGTTATATGCTGTTAAAGTATTTTGGAAAGGAAACAAGAATCAATGGAATGACTTCAAACATCAGTCAGCAAGGCAAATCAGACTGAATTACTGGAGGACATCTCACGACTGCACTTAAGAACCATGTGCAGAAGGAGCTTTCCTATACTCCTCATGCAGTGATGTTCCCTGTGGTACTAATTCAGTTTTCATGTGCTCTTCAAAACAGCATTTCTCACATCAAGCCCTGAAAGTATTTTCACTTCTGCCTTTCCCAAGGACTGGGTTTATTTTTGAACCATTAATGCTACATCTGAGGTGGCCAAGACCCACAGCAGAACAGCAGCTATTCCTCTTCTCACCTCCCAACAGCAGAACACAATCTGTGCAGCCAGTTCATAGCACAAAGCAGAATTAAACACCCTTTCCCTAACAATTTCCTCAGTTAACTTGTTAGTTACAATAGAAACATTTTGCTTTCTTGTACACTGAGGTGATTTAATTGAGCATAACCACTTGGCTACCAAGTTCCATGGAAAGTTTTGTAGGACAAGCAGCAGAGCTCAGGGAAATCGAAGCTGCTGAGCTTGATGTTCCAACACTTGAGGAAAAACAATGGTGTTCCTCAGACATGAGCAAATAACAAGGAGCAAAAAAAAAAAAAAGAAGGCAAGAATCTGAGGCCTCCATATCTCCCTTCCTTCAGCAACACTTTCCCCTTCATGACCCGATAAGGGAGGGAAGGCAGTGGCAACTCCAGAACAATGTAATTATTAACAGGAGGATCAGGTGTTCCTGAGCTTTTGTACAACACCTGCTGTTCTACTTTATATTGCTGGGAGATCAACAAGATTTCCAAAGCTATTTTTACTTTAACAAGAGGCGACTGGGCTCGGTTATACACTCTCCCTTTCACTCCCTTTGCTAAGCACATTCCAGAGCAGCCCCTTTGAGGCCCTTAAAGTGGCTCAGCCAAGGAAAACATGACTTTCAGCACTGCCATTCTGCTTTCTATTTTTCTTTCTAAGCACAAATGCTTTCTCCCACTCCCACAAATGATAGAGTGAATTCCCCATGTTTGAAGAAACTGGAGGGATCAGCACACCCAGAGTGCAAAGTGGAATCAGTTCCTCACAGGTCCATGTTTGGGATGTACTATTTCTTCTACATGTACAGATTTATACACTGACCTCTGAATGCTGTCAGTATAAGTTGGACATTCTATCCAATGATCCTGAGTTTTTTTGGGGGATCTGAACTGAAAGTTCAACATTTTCTGGCAGCTATGGTAAAACTGCAGTAACAAACAGTGCTATAAAATTTCAATAACCAGTATGGCTATCGTGACATACAACAGGCAGCTAAGAAGAGCCAAACAAGATTTAACTTTTGAGGAATGGTCTTTTAAAAATGCTGCCTGAGTTTGCATTAAAAGAAGAGAAGGAAAAAACATTACTACCTGAGCAAACCCCCAGCAACACAAAGGCTTTTGGAGGCTGAAGTAACAGACAATCCACCCAGTGCAAAGCACACACAAATCTCAACTCTACTCCTGACTAATTTTGAAGAGGCAAATTTGAATGATTCAACAGTCCTGATTTGAACCCTTGAAATCTTAAGAAGTTAGAACAATGTTCTGCAACCAAAGATCTCCAGCTGAAGAGAAAATGCCAAACAAGTTCACTTTTGCTGAGTGTATCCATCTAGTTTGCCCAGGTTTAACTTCCCAACTAACACTGTTAAGAGTGTTTTCAAATATATTTCAAATATATATTCAAGTATTTCCAAAATACTCTAACTAATGCAGTCCTGAACAGCCACAGCAGTAATGTCTAACAGGATGCAAATCTCAGGCACTGCACAGCTTAAACATTATGGGAGTTCAAGAAATACAAGGATACAAGTTGTTTCTACTCCTTTGGGGCTTAAAATACCCCAGTGCAAATGTTTGATTAAAATAAAGAAGTGTCTCCAGCTAGCAACACCTCAGCACAGTGCCAGGAACTCATCTTGCAAATATAAACCACTTTGCTGTAACATCACCTCTCTCACTGACGTCAGATACACACACAAACAGCTTTCAAGGTCAAACCCAACATACACAGTTTGTGTCCCCATAAATACTGTTCTGATATTTGCAGACTGACATGAAATTTCAAGGTGTATCAGTTAACATTGGGAGGGAAAGGCACAGCTGAAAGAATTAAATTCATTTATATTTTCCTACTCCACAACAAAGTGATGATTTATGTGCATCACTTAGCACTGACAGTAGTTACCTAATGATTTATTTTGCCTACTCTGTCTCCTTTCATGCTAATCAACAAGAAAAAATACTTCGCTTTTCCTGTAATTGGCTGTAGACAAAAGGTCAAGACAATTATTCTGGTTCCATGAATACAACTAACAAGGAAAGTCAAGAGAGGAAAAGCTACATACCAAAGTCCATTCTATCTTTCTGGTTTCTCTGAAGCAAACCCAACAGCAGGTCAGCCAGGTAAGATGACGTTTCCCTAGGAATACTGCACACAAGAGGAAGAGAAACAAGCATTAAATTTAATGTATGCATTAAATAATGCATAGCACATTCAGTTTCAGGAAATCAGCATTCTGCCACGACCCCAGGTCATCACTAGCCAAGTCTGTGGCCTTAGTACAGGACCCTTTCAACCCAGCAAGGTACACTGAAGGCAAAATGCACCATGAGTCACTGGTATCATGCTACATCCTTGTAAAGAAAGCACCAGCAAATATTTTTATGGATCCCAGGCATTCCCAAAGATGAAAAGTGTTCAATCAACATGTGTAAGTGACAGGAAAGGCCATGGTGACCTACCTAGGAATCAAATTCCTGTTCTTTTCATAAAACATTCTCAAATCTTGAGGACTATTGGCCTGTCAAATAAAAATGTACATTAGTCAAAGCTCAGTTTCATGGAGAAAACAGCTTTTGCACCTATGCGCACACACACAAAAAAAAAGATGCTTAAAGGACAAAACCCCAAGCACAGCAGTGACTTGAGTACTGAGTATCCTTATTTTTATATTTCACCTGGATTAAACACACTGCTCACATAGACTAAGCATAAGCAACTTCTCCCTTGGTATTCTCAAGCAATCACCACGCTCAGACATCCCTGATTTCTGCTTCCATGACTGGAAGCAAGAGCCCAAGGAATGTCCTTCAGACTAAAAGGAGGGCAAGGGAAATGAAGTGTTACCTGAAAAGGTGGTTTTCCAACAAGACACTGATAAATCACAGTCCCTATGCTCCACAGGTCTGCTTTAGCATCATAGTGTTGAGACATAATCACTTCAGGGGCCTGGAAAGAGCAACAGGATCTCAGGAGGGAAAACAAAAAGGCAAAGGCACAGCAATCTGAACTCTACAGTTCTGTCAGAGCAGCATTAACAGAGACCAGTTTACTGTAAGACAAAGTGAACATGACCTGAAAGGTAACAGTTCTATCTAAAATGAAAGCTGTGTTTCAAAACCACTGAAAACTGGAAATGGTGATGCACTTCAGAAAACATCCAGCATGTATGGGAAGAGGAGGTAAGTGTTACTGGTTTATCCTTGTGGACAAAGAATCAAGGATTTCATGAGGAATATCATTATCATAATTTCATATACCAAAACCAAGGGAAAGCAAAATGATCTTCCCATGACCATAGAGTACAGCAATGACAGTGCCAAAGTCAGAAAGTTCAGTGCTCAATTACCCACTACAATCCTTAGTAAAATTAATGGCAATTAACTCCAAATTAGTTTGTTGGGGTTTTTTTTTTACACAAACCCCACATATGAGAGAAGACATGAAATAACTGGAATGAAAACATCCATTAGTTTTTTTTAACTACTAGTGTAAAGATCTCCTAGACTGTATTTGCTCTCTTTATTTTCTTAGAAATTGGGAGTGCAAAAAGAAGTATGTGAGTGGCAATGAAACTACTTTGCCAAAAGAAATATTGCTAAGATGTAGCAATTAAATTCTCCAAGATTTTTCCTCCCTGCAGCACTGAGGTATGTGCAATCCCTCTCTGATTTTAACAAGCATATTCTCTGAGAGAAAAAGGAGACAGCAAAACTTGGAAAGGGGAACTGCATGCTGCCCCTAATACCTGTGAAGCAACACGAGGCAATTATTTTGTTGCTTATCTCCAACATTCTCCTGCCAGAACACAACATCAAACAGTGTCACTTACCATGTACATAGGGGAACCACACAGAGTTGCAGCCATCATGTTGCTATGCAGATAACGAGCAAACCCAAAGTCAGCTGTGCAAAGAACAACACTGGTCAAGGAAAAGCAAGAGAATATTCCCATTTTTACAGCCTAGAAACGACCTCTCATTGAAATCTGCTACAATTAGTAGTGGGATGGGGGAAAAAAAGACAGTTATAATATATAGCCAAGGATGTGGAAGAGTAAAACCTTTGTTATCCTGGAAGAATAATGTATTATCTTTCAAATAAGGCAAGAAACAGCAGTGACATCATCTGCACAAAGTGCTGCTCAGCCACCTCCCCAGCTGCAGAGCAGCCTGTCTGGCGTCA